GATGCGGACGCTCTAACCACTAGGCCACCGGATCAGTTTAGAACTGTGTAGATAAATGGTTAAAGCTTGGTTCACTTATATATTGGCATTCATACTCGGGGTTGATTCAGCAAGTTCAGGATCATAGGTAAAAATATAAGGTTTCTTTTGTCTTTGCTTTATATTATAAAATGTCCTTGAGGTAGAGGAATGAACTGTATGCTATACATTTTGATGGCATGTCATGTATCGCAGTCTAGGTTTTCTTGTCAAGGTCACAAATCAGCTTTTATTACCTTGTTCTGTTCTTTGCCTCTTATGCCTTTTGAGATAGGGCAGTGAGACTTGGTTACTTTCTGTGCCTGTTTAGTAATTTTATAGCTCTTTGTTGCGGAGTCTGAGATTTTATAATTAGTTACCTTTTTATACCTCTCAGGATGGGTGGGAGGAAAGAATTTATTGAATTTATTTGTATTCTGTTTGCAGTGAATGGTAAGTAGTTCAAATCAGGCTTACGTCACTGAAAGAAACATTCTTTTTTCTTTAAGGATGATGTCTTAAAATGGATAGATTGCCAGCTTAGGTCAATATCAGACCATGAACTTGTGAAGGACACAGTGATTCTGGAGATACCCAAACTGACTGATGTGATATCTCTTGCTTCTTCACATTGTAATGTCCTAGGTGTTGTACGACAATTCTTCAACACTCTGGGAATCAATTATTACAGAGAGGTGATTTTTGTACTTGAGAGACAGGTTTGTACCAGAGCATTGCAAATAAAGAGAATGTGACTTGATATTAACTTTTTATTACCACTGTCTGTATGGCAGACCGATGGGCATAAAGTGCCCAGGTCATTTGCCTGGGCATATACATTTTTGACAAAATCAAGTTTAAACTTCTGGCTAGGCTTTATTATCGTAGTCAGATTTTTAACTCTCTGTCTTGCTCATAGTGAGAACCTTTGTACATGTTTTTAAGTTGCATATTTCTTTGTACAAAAGCAGGTCATTACGACAATTATTGTAGGTTTCATTTAATCTGATCAGCTTTGACATTCAGCTTTTATTCAGGCACTACTAGTGTTTTGAAACTTGAGAAAAGAGAATAACCTTGTTTGATTAATAATCATGTATACAGAATTACATGCATGTTCTATACATTGTGTCCTTGATAACTTTAAATTAATTATGTGTCTGGCACAATTAAACCAAATTATGTCACTTTTTGCTGATAAGGTCTTAGTTCTTATTATTCATTTAATTCTATGTCATTTTGATCTTTGGATATAATTTCATGTTAAGTAAAAGAAAGTGTGGATCTGTTTTTTTTTTTATTAGGGTTGATGGGTAGGTCCTAATTTTTTATATTAAGAAATTCATTTAAAAGTCAGTTACAAATTGTGAGTATAGTAAAGCAAGGTGTCTAATGTTTGGGGTTTTTTTTTTCATGTCTGCATGCATAAATATTTGTCTTAACAGTGAAAAAGATGTATTTATTATTTTAATTTACAGTGTCAGATTTTAATAAGTTAAATGCATGAAACTATCTATCTTATTTATGTTCTATTCTGAGACATTATTAATACATAGGGATCACTTTTTATCTTGATGACCTAATTTTCATTTTCCAGCAAATAAGTTTCTGAATTTTTTCAAATACATTATCAATAATAGTATATTAAAAATACATCAGCTACTTTGAAAATACATCAAATTTAACAACATAAATACTGAAAGTTTATCTGCTTTGCATAGCAGAAGTTATACTAGAGTGGTCTCCCCTTGAAGATATTATAGCCAAATCCATTCATTGTTAATTAATACTTTGGCTTATCCTTAGAATTCCACAAATATCAAATTTATATATGCCTCATCAGCTGAGTGGTCTTTTTCTTCTTAGTTTTCTTATCTAGAGAAGTATGCTGCAGGCGTCAATTTCTCACTAAAACAGATCAATATTTTGCACTGTTGTAAGATCTATAAAGCTCTTGATCAAAGATACAGATAACATTAGACCCATTTGGTCATCACATGCTTCTTATAGAGTGACAGCTCTGCCTTGACCATAAACAGGACAGAACTTTACATTACCTACTAGGCCAGTATTGGCATGGTACAGTTTGTCTTCTTTAGCAATAGTAGATATATCATCAAGATGGACAAACCCAGGTACTGGCAGTTTTCCTAGTATATCCACAACCAGAGCCTTCCATTACAACACAAACAACCAGTCCAATATTTACATGTCATGGCAACCGAGCTAAACCATTCCTGGACATTCCATCACCTTATCAAATAGTGGAAATGGCTGTAGTGCTCATGACTTCAATATCTCTTACTAGATTTAGATACAAGAAATCAGCTAGACCTGGACTATATCTTCAGTCCAACACAGCCTTGCTCTGTACTATCTACCACTGTGTACAATCGTCAGTTTCATGTAACCATAAACACCATGGTCTGGCATCCAGAAGAACACTTAGTCCACCTTTAGGTCTGTCACAGAAGCCCAGCATAACTGGCAGTGAATTTGGTGAGCCTTTCTTCCACACACTCAGTACCAGACCCATGGAAGCATCGCAGGCTGGCACCAGAAATATATATCAAACAAGTCCAGGCACATTGCAACAAGTCCAGACACATTGCAACTAAAGCTATGGTGACTCTATTTTCTAGGACATTAAGTACCTTTGTTGGACCTTTTGGTGATACCGGAGTGAATATCTTCAGATCATGTTGTTCCAGCATGAATTGGCTCCCAGCTTAGATCACTGTCCCTAACACTCCACTTCACTAGTTAAACCATCACGACCTTCATGAGGGTTTTCTTGTGACACCCCACCCCATATGAGTTTGAGGACACAAATTAAAAATTTTTTTCTTCATTCTGACTTATCCAGAATGAGTTGCTAACATTTTACATTGTTTCAAGACCCAATAATCAGCAGGTGTTTGCTCAATGATAGATTGTATCAGCTTTAACCAGAACACTCATACCAATGTATCAGATGTTGGCAGAGACATTGAGTATCATTGAAACCTTTCTCATTTTCCATTGATCAAAACTCTATTTCATAATGCAATAACCAGTTCGCAATATCATAGCAGTTGTCTCCATACGTGCCTGTATCTTGATGGCTATGTTTCAGCTACACCTAATAATTGTGAAAATGCCAGTAAAATTTTGCACAAAGTGTTTGTTTTTGTGCAGGCATAATCACTGAAAAAATAGGGTTGTACACAAATTTGCATAAAATCAGCTGTGCAACAATGTCAGTATGTTAGATATTCTTGAAAATTTTGCTCCCCTTTTTCCTGTTAGCACTGTTGGAACTGATTGTTATTGTAAGACAATGACCCCTTAACCCAGTCACATATAATACATGTCAGGGTTGACATCTTAAAATAGTTGGACTGCTGTAATATATTGTATCAGCAGATTTTAATCTTCATCTTTTTAATTCTATTGATGAATTGGAATGATCAGCATATTAAACACTAATGATAGTAATGATGGCACATCATGCATGATGCTCAGCATAAATACTAATAATAGTAATGATGGCACATCATGCATGATGCTCAGTTTAAGCACTGATGATAGCAATGCTGGTGTTATCATGCATGATGCTCACTAAAAACACTAATGATAGCAATGCTGGTGTATCATGCATGATGCTCAGTAAAAACACTAATAATAGTAATGCTGGTGTATCATGCATGATGCTCAGTAAAAACACTAATGATAGTAATGCTGGTGTATCATGCATGATGCTCAGTAAAAACACTAATGATAGTAATGCTGGTGTATCATGCATGATGCTCAGTATAAACACTAATGATAGTAATGCTGGTGTATCATGCATGATGCTCAGTTTAAGCACTGATGATAGTAATGATGGCATGTCATGCATGATGCTCAGTAAAAACACTAATGATAGTAATGCTGTTGTATCATGCATGATGCTCAGTAAAACACTAATGATAGTGATGCTGGTGTATCATGAATTATGCTCAGCATAAACACTAATGAGTAATGCTGTTGTATCATGCATGATGCTCAGTTTAAAGCACTGATGATAGCAATGCTGGTTTATCATGCATGATGCTCAGTAAAAACACTAATGATAGTGATGCTGGTGTATCATGAATTATGCTCCGCATAAATACTAATGACAGTAATGTTGGCATGTCATGCATGATGCTCAGTAAAAACACTAATGATAGTGATGCTGGTGTATCATGAATTATGCTCAGCATATGCACTATTGATAGAAATGCTGGCACATCATGATGCTCAGCATAAACACTAATGATAGTAATGCTTCCATATCATGCATAATACTCAGTATAAACACTAATGATAGTAATGCTGGCACATCATGCATGATGTTTTCAGCTGTATGTTGACTCACAATATGTTCCTTCACTTTCAAAGTAACAAATTTGTGTTGATTTATACATGGAAATTCTTCATGTCCAATTCTATTTACATGTGACATCAAAGCACCAACATTCATTACTGCTTAAAACTTAAGGATAAATACAAGAGTGAATCACTTTGTTTTCATATTTGTAATATCTCTTTTGGTCTGGCAGAAAAATTAGCTTCCATTGTTTTAATTTATTTTCAAAATTTCCATGAATACCTGTAAAAGGGGACTACAGTTGGCTGGGGAAAAAAAAGAATGAAAGAATCAGCACACTTTAAAGAATCCAATGTCAGTTTCCAGGGCTGGTTTGCTTTGCAATTAAATAACCTTTGTATTTGATATTCTGCCGGTAAGTTCTAAGAATGAGTTTACTGCTAGCTAATGGATATGTTTATTCACCACACGGGCATCTATTTGTTTGTTATCTGGAATCATAATTGATACAAACTCGCATTGATGCCTGCATGGTAAGTAGTATACTCAACATCAACTTGTTTTTATAATCCTCTTTGTAACCCATGCTAGGTGAAATATTGTCATTTGCACTCAAGAAATATTGACTAGACTTGAGATGTTACACAATCACTCCGATGGCCTAGTGGTTAGAGTGTCTGCCTCGGATGTAGGAGGTCGTAGGTTCAATCCCCGGTCGAGTAATCCAAAGACTTACAAAAATGGTACTAAGAGCTGCCTCGCTTGACACTCAGCATTAAGAGGTTAGTGTTAGGACTGGTCGGCCTGGTGTCAGGATAATGTGATTGGGTGGGACATCATGCTACATGTTTGCAGCATGATGCCCCAGTGCTAAACATCACTATAAATTGCCACACTGCAGACATTGAAGTGATATGACTTAAAAATTGTTAAAGCTACGTTAAAAATCATAAACACCAACACCACAACACAATAACTTCAAACAGAAACAACTGTTCTCCTGAATATTGTGGAATGATTCTCAGTCTTACAAAAAAAATAAATGTACTTGACACCTTAACATACATTACTAAAAACTAAAAAATATGACATTTATTGTGTTCATAATTATTTACAAAAGTTGAATTGTAAAAAAATTCTAAAATTTTCAAAATTCTACTTTTAAATTCATACATAGCACATTAAATCATGTGATTAATAGATCATAATTATAATATTCAAAGTTGATTTTTGACAAATTGAAATTTTTTGGTGCAAAAAAAATAATTTTCAAAACTACTTTGTCATAAAAAAAATGAAAATATGCTGTGAATATTCTTAAATTCATTACAAAATTACTCAGGATTTTTCATATATTGCCTACCTGTGGAATTACCAAAATACTAGTACAGTGAATAAGTACCATGGTAGATACTACTGGAAAAGAGGTAATACCCCTTGTATAGGCACATAGGAAGATGCAATATGTTACTTTTTATGAGCATGTCATGTTTTTGAGATTGCAAAACTTTATACTGGGATTCTTGATAAGCAGACTTGGGGGTTGGCATGTCATCTGTTTGAGATTCCAAAACTTTATGCTAGGATTCCTGATAAGCACTTAGGGGTTGGCATCTCTGATTCTCATGCTTCCCCATAATCACTTCCCCAAAATAACATGCATATCTGCTCCAGCAGTAAGCGATGAATGATTGGCTTTGGTGCCCAATCATCTGTCTGAACGGGGATTGCTCTTGTCTGTCTTAGGTCTTAACAAGCAGATAGCTTTTTGAGCAATTAGGTTATTAAAATTATCATATGGAATGGTACTATGGCGAGGCACAAAGTAGGTCACACTGACCTAATTTTCAGACTGATTATGTTAAGTGTTTGCATTTAGCTCAGTTTCTCAGTACGTAAAGTTCTGGCTTAATATTCATCATGGATGATACTATTAGCTTTTCATGTTTCATTTTATTTTAGATTTGCATATTTTGTATCATGATAGGCAGCGCTGAATGTGAGAAACTTTTCAGTATTGTTAGGAAAAATAAACATGAAGTTAGAGTCGGTCTCAATGCTCTACTGTTGTGCAAAGCATTGATGGCAAAAACTGGTACAAAGAGTTCTGAAATACAGCATGACAGTCTGTTGTTATCTAAAGATGAAAGTACTACTTATGAAAACTTAAAGCATTGAGTGTTGAGAAAAGAAAAAGAGGAGAGGATGAAATAAATTATTCTTACAAAAACATTTAACATTTGTTAAAATATTGATCCATTTAGATTGTCCAGTTTTGTAAGAACTGGAACTAGCTGCTCATTCTGGTTAGTAAAAAATAAAGACTGTTCAATTATCTTAAATTTCTTTGAATTTATTGCAAGTTTAATGTAGATCACTTTTTATACACTTGGATTACTCTTTCGTTCACTTGGATTAATTTTGCATCTCGGAGGATGGCAGGTATATATCACCTACTACATTTTTGTCCTGGATTTTGGCTATTTTGTGTGTAAAATATTGGGTTTTTTTCTTCAGAATATATTTGCATAAATATTCTTGAAAGTTGACATCAGACTTAGATCCCCTTCAGGAGACTTTACTTGCACCATCTCTAGTTCTAACAGGAGTCTGAATTCACACTCCTGATTCCCACTCTATTCTGTATTCCCAACACATCATATTTGGGATAAGCACTCAGTCAGAGCCAGAGAGTGTAGTTCATAAAGGGGTCTAGGTCCTAGGAAAAAGTGACAAGCATTGGTAGTGTTTCTATTCCTAAAAAGGTGTGTCAGCCTCATAAAGAGTTATTGCATGATGGTTATCTCAGACAATATATCAGTAGTGGTACACTTCAAGGAGCAAGGAGGTACTCCTCATGTGGTACACTTCAGGGAGCAAGGAGGTACTCCTCATGTGGTACACTTCAGTGAGCAAGGAGGTACTCATGTGGTACACTTCAGAGAGCAAAGAGGTACTCCTCATGTGGTACATTTCAGAGAGCAAGGAGGTACTTCTCATGTGGTACACTTCAGGGAGCAAGTAGGTACTCATGTGGTACACTTCAGGGAGCAAGGAGGTACTCATCATGTGGTACACTTCAGGGAGCAAGGAGGTACTCCTCCTGTGGTACACTTCAGGGAGCAAGGAGGTACTCCTCCTGTGGTACACTTCAGGGAGCAAGGAGGTACTCCTCATGTGGTATACTTCAGGGAGCAAGGAGGTATTCCTCATCATGCTCCTGCAAAACCTTAGAATCTCCTCCACTGAGCAGTGTTATGCAGGATAATGCTACAAAATGGCCATATATCAGGCTAAAGGAATATTTGCAGACAGTTTGTCAGAAAGGTGCCATTGGCTCTTTATATTATTATTATTATTATTATTATTATTATTATTATTATTATTATTATTATTATTACTAAACATGATCAATGAGAAGCTTTTCAGCCCAAGCGGTAAAACCAAGTTTCTTATGACTTTGTAACTCATTGCCTAATAGCTGGGACATGAGCACAAGATTGTAGAGAGTGTGGACATTTATGCTTACTGCTAAATTTTGCTGAGCTAAAATGTGCCAGGGTTCTGCCTGATAGGCATAATAATTCAGTGGTTTAGATCTGGTAGTTGCATTCATTTGTATTTGTAGTTTAATCCTCGTTTGACAGCAAGCAAAACTAATATTTGCAACTTTGGTCAAATGTTTCAGAGTATTATTGCGCTTAATTTAAATTTAATTGATGAAAATTAAAATAAGTATCTGTGTGTTTCAACTTTGCAGATTGCTGGCAAGGCAAGGGAACTGATGATGGACATGGACAAGTATAACAAAAGATACCATAATTTCCAGGTTAACATTACCCTCAGTAGCCGTCACTCCCTAAAGCTATTTTTCACACTTCGCAAATTTTACTCGGTTGTTGTAGATAACGTGAGTCACAGGTGAGTACAGCTCTCAACAGTTTCATATTTTGTGAATTTTTTTATGTCATGTCAGGTTTAGAATAACTGAGGTAAACAAAAACAGAATGAAACATGAATCAGTGGTTTAAATCTAGAGGTTTCATTTGTACTTTTCATGCTGCCGGTCAGTTTCCATGCCTTCAAACCATTCTGCATAATAAATTCTGAATTAGATTCTTTACACTGAAAGAAAAAATTTGCTTTGCATTACAACCTCAATGCTGTTGTATTAAATTACCTTTATAATGAAAATATTTCTCTCCTGTTAACAGTTTCAAAAATGAAACACCTGATATTGGTAGATTCATTTTAATTTGTTCCAACAAACAGAAATGAAGAAAACAGAAAAGTAATGCATGGAAAATCAGAATGCGTTTTTAAATCCATAAATTTAAAATGATGAAATAAAACTGAAATATAAATGCAAATGGAGTGCAAAAGAAGTGAATTCAAATATTAAAATAAAAATATTCAAATATTCAGTTGCAAATGAACTTCAAGCAAAATGCAGATTTCTTGAAAATTCCCAATTCAGGGTTAATCAACTGGGAGATGTTTTGTGTCCTGGTGGTTAGCAGTACAAGTTCACAATATGGAGTTCATTTGATTAAAACCATAATTGATTGTTACTTTTGTTCCTTTGATTGATGGACTTCAACATAATTGCTTCCATACATGCCAGGTTTTCTGGAAACAAATCAGAGATTTGTGTTCAAAATTAAGGAGAATAGTGTAACGACAATTTTTCTCATAAGTTTAAGCACAAAAGTGCAGATCATACTACAAAAATAAAATAACTATGATGAATAATAGTTACTTAGCTTTAATAATTTTGTTATATCGCTGCTGTTCACTAACTCTGGAGAGGATGGAATTTTTCTTTCCAACCATTACATTTGCATTGTCACTACTACACCCTACTAGGTTCTGTCAGTTTGTTAAGCCTTTTTGAAGACAGTTTAAAAGGTTTTCACCAATTTCAATATTGCAAATGGGCAAGCCAGGAATTTGGTTGTCACTCTGTGAATGTCACCGTCGAACAACCTTACAAGAATTGCTACACACTTTTCATCACCATTGTCATTGGACTCATCCATCATCACTGAGAAAGCTTCAAAAGGGTTTTCTTTGCATAGTAAAGTTACTTGATTGTCATACATTGGACCCAGTGCATTGTTAACAATGTTTGTGGGGATTTCTGCCATCTCCTCAGTCAGCGTGGGTTCGAGTCTAAGATTCGGCAAATGTGGATATGTGAGAAAGCTTGTCAGTATTTTCTCGTGGGTCGGTGGTTCTTCTTGTGAATTTCCCAGTTTCTTTCTCCACCATTAATACTGGCTGCCATGTATAGCCTATTATGTTCTGAAAAATGGCGTTAAGCCCCAGAACAATTAAAATGTTTGTTACCATAGTTCTTTTGAAGTGAAATTTCTGAGCAATTTGCAAGTCAGGAAACTTAACTTTATACAGCTGACTGAAATGATCAGCAATGAAGAATGGTGAATTATGCTCTGCCATAAAGATAGCAAACAGAACCTCTGCTTTAGTGACACTGTCTACTGATGTTGGTGCACACATATGTGTTACTTTAGGCACATTATGTGATGATTTATCATTTGCAATGTGCTGCATACTTTTCAAGTGCCTTGTGAGATCATTTTTCCCTACTAGTAATGTTTGAATGTGTGTTGCAAGCTGTATAGTCCGAGTTTCATCTGACCCTAGCCACCCCATTTTTGATATTTGGACATTTATGTTGGGGTATAGCATCAGAGTCCATT